CTTTCTAATTTACTTGTCAGCATGGATTTTTTTTCCTTAATTACATTCATACCACTCAAATCCTTGCGCTTTCCAACTTAGTTCTTATAAAATAATTATAATATAATTAATATTTATGTAATAGTTTATAAAGATTAAAACTTTATTCTAATTAAAATTAAATTATAATTATTAGCATAATAAAAACGCCAAAAAAGTCAAAAAAACAAACACAAAAAACTTTACATTTAAAGCCTATAATTTTTTACGGCTCTCCCCATCATCTTTGGCCTCTCTCGGAAAAATTCCTCCTTTTTTTCAAAACTTTTCTGCTTCTCTACTCCTTGTCTCCTCCATGGCGGCCAACGGCGCGGCGGCTCTTCCATGCTCGCCGAACAAGAGGAGAGGCGCCGGCGGCGGCGGCGCCGCGGCGAACTCGTCGGCGGGGGCAACGGAAATGGGGGTGGATGTTCTGAAGAAGATTGTGAGGCGAATAAAGCCCTTTGAGCAAGTCGGCTTACTCGGCTTCTTCTTCTTCACTTCCGCCCTGTTCCTTCTTCTGATACTCTGCTTCTTGTACTCTGGAAATAGCGTTGAGATCGCTCACCGTGCCGGCGATGGCGTCGGGTTCGGCCGGGGGTGGCGGTTAGGGTTGGAGGGTGAGGTGAGGGAGACGGCGAGCGGCGGCGGAGAGTGTGATTTGTTTGAGGGGGAGTGGATTTGGGACGAAAGTTATCCGCTTTATAATTCGACGGATTGCGCGTTTATTGATTTAGGGTTTCGGTGCTCTGAAAATGGAAGACCTGATAATTTCTACTCCAAATGGAGATGGAGGCCGTCTCGTTGCGAGCTTCCTAGGTCAGCTCCTGTTCTTTTTTTTAAGTTTACTGTGCTGCAAAAATCAGTTTTTTTTTTTTTTTTTTGGTTCCTTGCTTTGGATTAAGTTAATGGATTCTTGTTCGGCCGCTTTCAATCTTCTCCTTTTGAGTTCTTTTGGTCTCATCTCAAAAGTTTTCAACTTTTTTTCCTATTTGTTCTTTTCTTTAGCTGGAATGCTTTTACAGGTCTTTTTATTTCCTTTTTTTTTTTTTCTGATTTCTAAAAAACTAACTTTTTGATTCAGTTGCTATCAATGTTTTTATTTAAAAAGGTTGGGGGAGTTTGTTGAAGATGTTGGGATTGTTAGTGTTAGATGGAGAGGGGAATGGCTTGTTATTCCTGAACAGTTTATTGAGCCACATAAGTATTAGTGTATAAGCAAATCTTGTTTTTCAACCATGTTAGGCTAAAAATTCCAGATTTAGTAATTTTTGAGGGAAGTGGGAGTTATGATATTTACAATTTTTGTATTTGTGCCTGTTCTTCTACTTTGTTTAAATTGTAAATGGTGAAAATATGTTGCTTGGGAAAGCTATTTTTAGTAATTGGGAGTCTTGAATTTACTAAATTTGGAATTTATCAAGTTTTACTTGGTCTTATTTGTAACCAAACAGTCCATAACATTCATTGTTATTATTATTATTATTATTTAAATATTTGAAGGAGGTCTGTGCTTTATATCTTAGTTTGAGTTGAGGAGGAGGTGTGGAGAAAAGTTGTTGGCTTTCTTAGAAATAATAGGGTATATAGATGGTTAATATTAGATTAGGTGGATGTTTGATATCTAACACCCAAACTTAACTTTTTTTTACATTTTTACTGCCCGAATCTTTCATATCACATCAAAAATACCACCATTTTAACCTTTAAGAAGTGAAATGTGCTTTTTCAATGCATATGTAAGGATGTATGTATGTTAAAATTGATGTTCAGTGGTTAGATATGTAATTACATATGAATTGAGCGGTATTTATGTGAATCTTCCTAAATAATAATGTACTCACTGTTCCATTTGGCTTTGAAATCTGCGTTCTTCAAACGACCAATTTGCTTCAACAAATAATGCTCTAAGATATCCCAAATATGAAAATCAAGACATTAAAATTGTCAACATTGAATAACTAAAATGAATTTGAAAGATAGCAATGTAATTATGAATTTTGAAAAATAGTAATGTAAGATTCAACTAAAGAAAATTTAGGCATACTTGTAAAACATATTGAATAGTTAATCTATCAATTTATGGCTTTTCTTAAGTTATCTATACCTTAATATCATTCAGATTAACGTTTGTTTAATCACACTAGAAAAGGCACAAGCAAGAATAAAACACTAAAATTTAAAATTTTGCTCCTTCATTTTGCAATATTATAAAAATATTGCATGAGATAGAATTGATTGCTTTTATTGCGATTTGAGCTTTGTGAGGATAACATTAAGAAGCATTTACATACATACTACCCAATTCCTATGTATTTACATATCTAAGACCTAAATTTTACTTTTTTACATTTATACCGCTCAAATCTTTTATATCAAATCAAAAACACGACCATTGTAACTTTTAAAAAGTGAAATACTCATTTTCATGCATAGGTAATATGATGTATGTAAAAGATGAATTTTAGTTTTTAGATATTTCAGTACATAAGGATTTGAGTGGAATGTATGTAAATCTTCCTAACATTAATCCCATCATTGTTACCTTCATATCAATTTTGCATATTTTGTAGACGAAAAGCCTTTATTTTGATATATGATCTATAGAGGGGGGTTGTTAACGCAAAGATTTTATCATATCAAAAGGATTTAAGCGCTCAATATTTTCTCTCTATTATTATAATATATTCTTATTATTCATGATATTATTTTATTTATTTTTGCTATTTTATCTCTTGTTGATACAGATTTGATGCCAAGAAGATGTTGGAGAAATTACGGGGTCGTCGGCTTGTATTTGTCGGCGACTCCATCGGAAGGAACCAATGGGAGTCCATGCTCTGCATGCTGTCTTCGGCCGTTCCTGACAAAACGTCCATCTACGAAATGAATGGAAATCCTATTACAAAACACAACGGATATCTAATTTTCAAATTCAAGGACTATAATTGCACGGTAGAGTATTTCCGAAGCCCGTTTCTTGTGGTTCAAGGCCACGCGCCTTATGGAGCTCCGAAGAAGGTGAAAACTACGTTAAGATTGGATACCATCGAATGGACGTCCAACAAGTGGAGAGATGCTGATGTGCTAATATTTAATAGTGGTCATTGGTGGAACTATGAGAAGACTATTAGAGGGTTGGTAATCATATCTCGATGTTTGTATTTTTAAGTTTTATTATCCTCAAGAAAATTCTTGCATGGTATGTTCTTGTATGTTGCATAAATTCTTTCAATAGTCTCTGGAAGAAATTATATTAGCATATTTTGCAGATAAAGCCCTACATAATTAAGAAAAAATACGAATGCAAATTCACTTGTTTGGGATAAATTAAGGGGTGCCTAAAGGAGTTTTTAAATGTCATACTCAGCATAATTTGATTGAGTCTGCAGAAAATAAGTTTTATGAGCTTAGTAAATTTTGAAATTTGAGATTGTTTATGCTATTTCGTTTTTACAGGGGGTGTTATTTCCAAATTGGTGATAAGGTGTACATGAATATTACAGTGGATGGTGCCTATCAGAGATCAATTAAGACACTATTTGATTGGATACAAAGAGAAGTTAATACAACAAGCACTCAAGTCATCTTTCGAACCTATTCCCCCGTCCATTTCAGGTAAGTTTAGGCATGCAAAGCTTTACTTTCAATTATGGCTCTTGCTTGTAAGAAATTCATATGTTTTATGGGGATTAAAAATTTACTATTTGCATATTTAACATCTAAAATGATTGCATAGTTGCATTCCATTATAAATTTTTAAATACATCGAGGACGTGGAGGCTAATGCTATGCATCGTATTTCAACCTTTTTTTTTTATGATGAATTTGAAATTTTATTATGATTTGCATGTAAATAACTAATTGTAGCTGTTAAACATGTAAATAGTAGAGTTTTTTTAGTAGCATGCATGTATGCCCCTAATTGATATAGTAATGTTTTACCTCTGGTATTTTATTCTACTTGTCATAATTTTTTCTAATTTTTTTACTGCAAAATGTTCTTTCTTAATATTAGTCTTGTTTGCTTCCTTACTAATTTAACATCATTAGTTCATAATTTTTGAGAAATCTCCCAGGAGTATATGGTGTGTTGTATAACAAATCTTGTAATTACAAATTTACCTTCTTTTTAATCCTGGAATTACACTCATCTATCTAGTTTTTCCTGAAAAGGTCTAACCAGACATTCTGGGCACTTATATTCTGACAAGATTACTTAATAAACTGATCTTTACTTCATCACGATAAAAAATTTTGAAAAAAAATATTATTATTAATCATATTAGTATGTAAAGATAAAAAGTTTATTTATTTAACCATCTATTTTTTGAGAATTACACTCATCTATCTAGTTTTTTCCTGAAAAGGTCTAACCAGACATCCTGGGCACTTGTATTCTAACAAGATTAATTAATAAACTGATAATATGACACCCAAACAAACCTTCACAACTTTACTTTATCACGATAAAAATAAATAAAAAAATTATTATTATTAATCATATTAGTATGTAAGGATAAAAAGTTTATTTATTTAACCATCTATTTTTTGTAATTTTTTTGTTTTTAGTGGTGGAGATTGGAAATCTGGAGGAAATTGTCACATGGAGAAATTACCTGTACTGGGCAACTCCCACGTCTCCCTGAAACCATGGTCCAAGTTCCTGAAGCCATTCAAGAGCTTAAATTCAGATAAATCTAAAGAGAACAAGCTCCCGAAGATAGAGCTGCTGAATATTACCAACATGACGGCCAGAAGAAAAGATGGCCATCTCTCCCTCTTCTATCTCGGCCCGTTGGTTCGCGCCCCGCTGTTTAGACAGGACTGCAGCCATTGGTGCTTGCCTGGAGTTCCTGATGCCTGGAATGAGCTTCTTTATGCTCTCTTCTTGAGGAGAGAATCTGTGGAAAATTTATAGCTTTACAGACCCCTCAGTATAGCTGAAAGTAAGAGAAATTTCTCTCATAGCAGATAGAAGATTGTAGGAGGAGGAAAGCAATTGTAGATGAGCTGTGAAGTGTATATATAGTTCGAATATTTAAATGCAAATTGGTTTGAAGGGGGTGGAACTAATGTGCATGTAGTTGTTAGAAGGGGAAAGTTGCATACATACCACACAATTCTTATGTATTGATATATTTAACACCTAAAGTTTAATACATTGATGTTATCAATCTTTGTATGGAAAGGTGTATTGTGGTATTTTTTATGTGATATTAAATTTTTGAGTGTTATGCAAGTAAATATGAAAAAGGTTAGGGTCTATTTGAGGCAGCTGCAATTTATTGAATAATCTGCTGATAAACTGCTGATCAGCAACTTATCCAGATAAGTTGGCTGGTTGTTTGAAAACAGTTGATTTGCAATTTTTTGTTGATAAATGACTATTTTTCCCCTATTAAGTAATGTTGTTTGTAATAAAATTGACTTAGCAATATATTTGATATTGCAGAAGCAGAAAATTAATACATAACAGTAAAGAAAAAAAAATGAAATAGTCCTCACTTAACACGAAATATCAAAATTGATAAAAAAAATATTAAAATTACAATTAAAATTATGTTAATATTAATTTTAATAATAAATATGAAACGACCAGTCAGCATCCGACGATAGCAGTTGTGATCCGCTCTCTCAAAGCTGTCATTTTCGCTGCACCTTCGCCATTTTGGGTGTCAAATTATGGTGACTACCTCTCTACAAGTGGTATAGACCGTCTGATGTGAAATTCAAATGCTACAGGTGGGGCCTAAATTTGATTGTCATTAGCCATACTGAAGTCTGGATCCGACCGAGAGTAATGCTGTCAAATATAGTTGGCGCCATCATGACCACCACAATATGTATTTGTTTAGAAAAGTATGTCAGCATATCATGTAGGATGACCTATTTTTTCTTCAACACCCCATATGTTATTTCAATCACGTCGTGTAAGTAATGATGTTTGTTAAACATTTCTTTTCTTCTACGGGCAACATCACTTAATCTCTCGAAATCTGGAATGTGGTATTTGGGTCCTGGAAATGTATTCAAATACCCCATCTGTAAGAGATATCCAACATCGATTAAGTAATATTTACCTGTTCAGAAAACAATTATTAGTAACAATTGATAAAAATACTAATGTGGTATATAAATGAACGAACCTGAAGGCGGATGAGGGAAGCGTTGTCTACTACTTTTTGTTGCATAAGCAAAAAACCGACTACCATGTGTACTCCATTCCTATCCAGCTATCACAAATGTGAAATACATGTTGAAGTCACATACGACCATCACATTTTATGTGGATGATCCACACCGACCAATGTACGCGACCTTTTCATGGTCGGGTAGTCTTGCATCCACATGGGTACCGTCAATGACTTTAATACAGTTAAGTTAAAATAGTTAAAGATGTTATTGTCATCAAACTAATTAGATTCAGATGTGAATGTAATGCGTGAATGAAATTTACCTTGAAGAATGACATATACCGCGGTTCATTAGAAATTTTGTAGGGGTCATCTCGAATGACAAAGCCTCCAGCCTAATTATTTGTTATGATAAACTAACTAGTACTTTCAGACCCACAGAGAAATGTCGGCTGATTGTCTCAGAAGAATGCTGGAAACGCTTCATCACTCTTCTCATTGATTCATTCTGAGGTAAAATGTTGAATGCTATTGATAACATCTCTCTTGTAGTCATTCTGGAGGAACCGTGGAGCCCATGGTTGCTATGAAGTTCATGGAGGAGATCCAAAAAAATGGGCATTGACATGCATAATATATTAATGAACATTATAGGATGTTCTTCTAGCATCTCACCGACCCATTTATCACCAATGAAGGACGATGTCATGCATGGAGTTCAATCCACGATAGAGTGGTAGTATTCATAAAACATTTCCATAATCGCCGTAGCAATTCTCTTCCAGCAAAGCCATTGCCAATTGATTCTGCAAAAGAGTTTTCTTAAGAAAAAAAAACTGAATAGTAACTGCTCCATATCAGAAATAACTACATGACAACATATTATTGTTCGCAACAAACAACGAAAAAACAATCGAAACAAATAAATGGCGGGAAAAAACCAAACCATCAGACAATGTCATCATAGAATCATTTTTCCATAGACAAACATAAATATTGGACACGAAGATCGGGGCGCATCTTCATGAATATCTGCCTACTGATCTGGTCCACAAGTAACTTAACAGAGTTTAGATAGATTGTCGTATCAGCCAAAAGTTCAGGATGAGCATCTAAAACTCCAAGAAAGTCATATTAGGTGGTGTCATTTGAAGGACCAGGCTGAGCTGCAAATACTTTAGTCAGCTTCTGACGAATTGCCTTTTTCACCACTTTGAGCCATTTTGATTGGCATGTAGTTTATGTTGGGGCCTTCACCTGACCCAGTAACTTGCTCGGCTGCCAAGTCATTTGGCATGCCTGCAAACCCATGCTCACTTGGGTTGAACACATGCATGACCGTCGCAACAAACCCCCTAAACATGAGGTTCAACCACCATCACCAACACCCAACACCGGCACCAAACACTCAACAATAGAGAGAGAGACACACAACCCAGTCCAACCACCATCCAAATTTAAATAAAATAAAAATAAACAACAGTACTTTAATCAACACAAATTGAAGGTGAAATAGGAATGAAAAGTGTATGTATTAAATAAGAAAACTCAAACTTCACTTCGGTAACAAAAATGACTTCCTTCAAAATCAAGTAGCAACATAATGCTTTTACATTAACTTTGAAATTCGGTACTTTCATATATGGACATATAACACGAAATACTTTCACAATAACCTACATGAAGCTTTGTCCATCTATTGCTACCATTGTGTTGAGTTATGACATGAACTTATACTGACTTGAACACTATCTTGTCTATCTTTTAAGAAAGTTGGTAAGGAATCTCGAATGATCAATGTGTAATATTCAAATTTGCACATCAAAAAACCATTTTCAAAAGTCTTTGAGGGGCATTTATATACATGAACCCCCTAACGTAATTATGTCAAACATAACTATGCACTTTTTTCTTCTTTTTTTTAAAAAGATCCATATGCAGACCACCCCATCGATATGCATAATACTCAAACCACAACAAACCACCACATGCATTATAATCAAACCACAACAGCCGAAAGCCACATCTCATCAAAGCCACCATCACCAATGTAATAACAAAACCACAAATCCAACACCCTACCAAAACAATAACAAAACCACCATCACCAATGCATAAAATTAAAACAGCCGCCGAAATCAACATCTCATCCTCTGCATCTCAAAATAATGAAACAAACAAATAGCAACCAAAACCACCACCACCAACAGTCAACGCCCTTACATATTAGTAATAGAAACATAAATCAAATGCACGAAATAACCAGATACCAACAAATTTTTGCAACTCTCAGAAAAATAACAACCAAACTCACGAAGGCAAGAGATGCAGGTTTAAGAGATAGAGAATACCATAGGAAGAAGCACAAAAGTCTCGAAATAATGTGAGAGAGGGAGGGTTAGAGCAGAAGAATGCGAGTGGGTTAAACCATGCTTGGTGGAGAATCCAATCTCGTTTTAAAATTCTTTTTTTTTTAGAAAAAAAATTAAAAGTAGAGCTCACTGACAGACATTTGAGTAGAGATGATATTAATTAGTTCACCGTATGCAGTGTGTATGAACACAAGGAAAACTTTTTCTGCTTGGTGAGTAGCTATGAGCCCAAATTGATGTTGTTGTTTCTAGCTTTGGCGGGTGAGGTTATACATAACTTTATAATAAAGTTTTTTTTTATTCTTCATAATTTTTATGCTTTAATTAAAAAAAATAAATTTAATATTTTTAAATTATTCAAGCTAAATAGAAACCGTGCACAAGCCGGAGTCAAATAAATGAATTTCAAACAAATTAACTACTAAGATGCCATACAAACTAAACAATTTCAAACATGAGTTGATTCTTTATATTTTTTAAACAAAGTTAAACAAACTGTAAAATCACCCATCCTATACTAAGCATAAACCATTGTTGATAACTAGGCTGACATTACACTATTAGAAAACACCCCTATAAAACAATTAAGAATGCCACAAAAAAATTAAATTATTACATCTAAAATGCCATTATTAGACTACGAATTAAAAAATCATTTTATTATCCCAAATCTAATAAATAAAGAAACAACCAGCAGAATGGAAAGAAATAACAGTTTATGCAATTATTATTAAAATGCTTAAACCAATATTGTATTTCTAAATACTTTAGTAAAAATGAAAATATAAATATAGCACATATACATGAAATGAACCTAAAAAATAACTACATTACAACAATGCCTTCAACCACAAATTTGAACAAGCCTTTAGTCAGATTGAGCCGATTTGAGAATCGGTTTACGGCACAATAACAACACAATCAATGAAAATAACTAAAACATTACATCAACAGTAAATAGCACCTGGAAACGAGAGGAACAAATGGTTTGAAAGCAAGTGGTGGATAAGTTTAAACTTCAAATTATGCATAGTGATCTGAAATTTCACTGCAGCAGCATAAAAGTTAAAAATACAAAGAAACACAATTTAGTTTGATTGACTACAAACAACAATGTTCCATTTCAGGGAAGAGAAGTTCCAATCATACTAATCTTGTTTCGGATAGACTGCGGATGGACATTTTCCCAAAGTGTTCCAGAGTATGTAGTCCCCTGAGGTTGTCTGGGAGATTCAAAAAATGTTTTGCATCAGCACCATAAACTAATAATCATAATAATAATAACATTTTTTAACATTTATAAATGCCATCTCTATAATAAAAATGATATGATCCTCAAAATTCATAGCACACAAAATCATTATTTAAGATCAAAATTTAAAACATTTGTAACAAAAAAAAAAGCCCCTAAATCAAGGACGGAGATATTTACGCACATTACATCACACTTTTTTATTTATAAAACTAACAGTCACCTATTGGCCTTGCATTGTTTTATAATTTACTCCGTGTTGAATGCTTTCCTATGTTGACTGATAATAATACAGATGTTTTTGCTTAGAAAATGAACAAAAGAGTGGTGGTGTGGGTTTTATAGAGGCGAATAGAAAGCTCCAAAAGAGAAGAAATAAGTAGAAATATTTGGGTATCAGTGTAACTAGGAGAGGGTTAATGTGAAAGAAGAAAAATAAGGAGGAGAAGAAAACTAATTTCAGGCCATGTATGTTGAATATTGGGACTAATACCAACATTCTCCAACATATCAAACTTATAAACATTAACATTATTTTGCCCTGAACAATGTAGTGTCTCGTCTTCCTTGCACAAACTACTTTAGCATTCTTAAATGGAATCTCCCTAGATGCAAATGTACTACAATGTA